GATCCCAAATTCAGAGTCCCACTCAGGCTGGGATTTCCATCACAGACAGGTCTGAAGAGTTTGTGAATTGACAATCCCACAAATGGATTTTGGTGTCCCAAAGTCACACGGTTTCCTTTTCCAGTGTTTCTTTGGATCCTTTGCTCCCAGAAGTGTTGTCATCGTTGGAATAATTCCCTGAGTCTCGACTGCTCTGTTTGGAATGTTTGTAGTCTGTAAAATCAATTTGATTTCCCTCTTCTGTGATCATGGATTCAATCACACAGCAGCTTTCCACAGGTTCCTCTGCAGCTGACAGGTAAAGGCTGCTGAAGAGCTCTGCTCCAAACCCCTGAGGACAGAAGCAGAGGGGGAAGAGGTGAACGTTCATAAATAACAATTAAATACTGATTGTAATAATTAAATACTAATTCAGGGTGGGCAGGGCTGGCACAGGGTGCCCAGAGCAGCTGTGGCTGCCCCTGGATCCCTGGCAGTGCCCAAGGCCAGGCTGGACATTGGGACAGTGGGAGGTGTCCCTGCCATGGCAGGGGTGGCTCTGGGGGGGATTTGGGGTCTGGGGTTCCATGCTCACTGAGTGGTTTTCTACCCCTAACACACCTCTTGTTTCCCAAAATTCACCAGCTCAGAATTTAGGATGAAGTTGAGTTCACAGGATCCCAAATCCCCGGGGCTGGCAAAGCCCTCCCAGCCCCTGCAGTCCCAGCTGTGCCCCATGGCCACCTTGGCACCCTGAGTGCCACCTCCAGGTGCCACCTGCAGGGATGGGCACTCCAAAGCTCCCTGGGCAGCCCCTGCCAAGGCCTGAGCTCCCTTTCCATGGGGAAATTCCTGCTGCTGTCCAAGCTGAGCCTGCCCTGGCCCAGCCTGAGGCCGTTCCCTCTCCTCCTGTCCCTGTTCCCTGGGGCTGATCCTGATCCCCCTCCCAGCTGCACTCACAGAATCCAGCACTAAAGGGTGACCCCAACATTTTATCTCAGCCCCTTTCCTGCTCTCAGCTCAATCACCACAGAGCTGCAACATTTCCTCCATTAGAGCCTGAGGAGGCCACACAGGAATTAAAAATCCAAGTACAGAGGTTTCAAGACACACTTGAGTGTTGCCCTTTTCATTCCTGTGCCAAGCTGGAGGTTGGACAAAGGTCTGGAGATAAACCACTGAAAAAACCTCTAAAATGAACCCTGGCTGACCCAGAACTGATAAATATAGATATAATTTTTTTTTTCCCATGGTATTGAAAGTTCATTTTCCTAGAAAGAAGCTGAGGAGTCAGAGCTCACCTCGATGTTCAGGGGGGGCTGGCAGGAAGGGAAGAACACATATTTGATTTTGTTGTAGGCATGGTAGAGCACAAAAACAAGAGCAACAGCAACCACCACGACAACCAGCAGGGCAGCCATGAAAATGCCAAAAATGAACAGGGACGAAGATTCATCTAAAATTGGGAATAAAAACCATTCAGTTGAGGTTTTCAGAACCAGCAGAAATCAAAGCACAGCTCCAAATGTGCTGCAGAATTTGTAAAATAATTCAACATTTCCACATCACTCAGCCATGGGCACCAGGGAAAGCTGATGCTGTGCCTGTAACTGAGATTATTTTGTTTAAAGAAGCCACAAAATATTTCCCAATAAAAGAACAGAGAATCACCAAGGTGGGAAGGGATAGAAATGAACCCTGAATGGGAGCCAACTTTGCTGGTTTTACATTTTCTCAGCTCGAAGGCAGTGTGGTGGTTTGGAAAGGTTTTATTGAGATTTTTACCTGCCAGACCTGGGTAGGTTTTTTTTTTGTACCTGACAAGGATCAGTGTCAGATTTTGTTACACCCGTGAGAAAGTTTATGTGTTTCACAATGTAAATGTTTCATAATTTAATTGTTTCACAATTCTCAGTGTGAAAGAAATGTGTGGGGGAGGAAGAGTGTTCTAAAATTTTATTCTAAGTTTTTTTGTTTATAGAAAGTTTCTCTTTGTACCATTTAAAGTCAAGCCTATTTTGCCTTCCTCCTAATCCTATCTCACAACAAAAAAAAAAAAAATCAAATTGATAAACCAAAACCACTACACTAAATTATTGTTGATGAACTAAAACCAAAACATCTCTTGGTGGAGAATGTGGGCAATTAATGAAAGCTATAAAATAAAAATTAATTAGGAATAAAAATGGGCAAAGCATGTATTAAGTCATAAGGTCAAGTAAACTGATGATAGAAAATAAATAGTGATTAAAGAAAAAAGTCATGGACTGAAATTTCCCTTTTTTATATTATAAAGCAAAGATAATTATTACCCTATAACACATTAAAAAAATTCTAGATTAACTGTTCTAACTGTAGATATGAGTAGAAACATTAAAGTAAGCAAATGTTAAAATGGCTGAAATCCTCTGAATAGTGAAAAAATGAAGACCCCTACTGCTCCCCAGAGGAGAAAAGGGGGAGAAAAGGAGGAGGAAAAGGAGAAGAAAAGGAGAAATCTCTGGTTTTTTTTAAGATAAGAAAAGCTTTTGTTGAAACTGTGATAATCCTTAAAGTGTGGCCCATAATTGATATAGTTCTCAATAACAGTTCTGAAAAAAATCAGCTGAAGAAAGGAATTCTGATCAGGAATTCTCCCAGGGGCTGATCATTGTAACATCAAAGCCACAAAAAAAAACTTTCTTATAAAAAATCTCCATTAATTAAAAAAAGAAATCTCCTCTCCCAAGTAAATTAGTAAAAGACTATTTTAAAAATGGTAAACTGACTGAATTGTTTTCTGTGTGATTTTAAATATTAAAAAAAAAGAAATGTGTAGGGGGAGAAGAATGGTCTAAAATTTTATTCTAAGGGTTTTTTTTACAGTTTGTCATAAAAAGTTTCTCTTTGTAACATTTAAAGTTAAGCCTATTTTGCCTTCTTCTCCTATCTCACAACAACAAAAAAATCAAATTATTGAACCAAAACCACCACACTGAATTAGTGTTTATGAACTAAAACCAAAACAGGCAGTTTGAAAAGTCAGAAATTTTCATCCTGTTAATAAAATTTAATGTGGCCAATTATTTTCACCACGATTTGTTCTTTTCTGAGTGAGTTCAATGCCCTCACTGTCCCTTTGCACCAAGATGAGCTTGCAGCCCTAACAAATGTGATTTATGTCCTCACTCTGCAGGCCAGGAGATTCCCTGGCAGGAGGAGTGGGGCAGTTCCAGGGATGACACAGCCCTGGCAAGGA